GGGTCACTCTCAGTCGAGGCTGTCCATCATATGATCCATTGTGAGACGGAGACACATATGCAGACCAAGGGTGTCTCTCTGGGGGGTTCTGAGGCAGCTTTTTCAAATGACTCGGGATCAGCTGGAGAGAATTTAGACTCGTTTTTTGTGGCTCTTTCTTTCACTAGGTCGAACTCAACAGAGGATACGCTTGATCAGCCATATCAAGCCCCTTTTCTTCAGTTGGTTACGTGGGTTTATGAGGTTTTGGAGGTCTCTCCTATTGCATTTGACTCCACTCCTTCCTTTTCTGGCGGAAAGGACGGCTAGTGACTACTTGGTTTTCCTCCTTCTCCTGATATTGCTGTTCATGCTGGGAGATTTGCTGCTCAGTTACAGGACGGGATAGCTATGCCTTGTCCCCCACATTTATCTGAACAGCATGCTTTGGGTGTTCACTGCCAGGAGGAGGTATATTTAGATTCTCAACGGATGTACCCCCTTTTGGATCTGTGGGGTTCTAGATTGAAACCTTTTTTACACTTTGAACAGATCACAGTTTTCTCGGATTTGCCTTACTCTCACTACTGTCCTGAGGTATTTATCTTTGATCCAACTTTTGTTGGAAGCCTATCAACGTTTCCCTCAGCAATTTGAGGATGAGTTGGGGAATTTGCTGACGTCTACTTCAGTCAAATTGTCTTCTTCAGTTCTTTCTCTGATTTATTAGCTGGTTTGTTGTTGGGATTTACTGCATAGAGACACCTTGTTAGAAAATGTTCATTTACCATCTTCTGCCCTTACAGGAATCTCCTTTTCTCCATCCCATGTGGTTTGCCGGAGTTTCAGAGATGTTGGAATCATGAATTGATTCAGCTCATATACATTCTTCTTTATCATCGTTAGCTTCTCTCTTTTCTGGTGCTAATTTGGAAATGTTGACTTGTTGTGTTTCCCGACCTCCTTCAGTTCCCAGATCTATTGGTTACAATAATAGTCTGTCCGTATTCTCGAGGATCTTCGGCTTGGACGGACTGTTAACAACAGTGTTGGGGACTATCCCATGGGCAGAAGAGCAGTGGGAGCATGATTACATCAGTTTCTGGACATCTGGAACTCTTTCCCCAGGGATCTATGGGTACTCCATGTTCTGACTTCAGGGTTGGTCATTTAATTTACATCACCTCCACTATTATCTGCATAACCTGTTGCCTTTTCACCTCCAACACATCCATGGTGAGTGGAGCTTTGTTCCCAGGCCATAAGAGAGTTGTTAATCTGAAGGGCAATAGGGAGGGCTGATCCAATTCTTCCAGAATTTTATTCCCCTTTTATTCACTTTACCCATGAACACAGGAGATTGGCATCCAATCATCGATCTATCTTGACTCAACCAATTTTTAGATTCTCCTCGCCTTACCATTGAATCTTTTTTCAACCTACTATGAAAGTTTGCCCAAAGACTCTGGATGATCAAGTTTGATGTTACTGATGCTTATCTCCATATTCACATAGCAGAATCTTCCCAGAGGTTTCCCAGATTTGTGCACAAGGGTCAGGTACTGCAGTTCAGGGCTCTACCTTTTGATCTTGCATCTTATGTCTTCTGCAGAGTGGTACAAGTTTTTTCTTGTCATCTGCATTCTTTGGGTCTCAGCACACATCATTATATGGATGAATGGCTCCTTCTGGCATCATCTCATTGATTAGCAGAACAACATTCTCACATTCTCCTTTCAGAAGCCACAAAAGTTGGCTTTCTTATCAGACTGGAGAAACCTATTCTGTCACCAATGCAATATCTCGTCCATCTGGGTGTGTTTTTCAATACTCACTTAAGTCAAGCTCAACCAACCCCTATCAGGTTACAAGCCATGAAAAGAGCTCTCAGGCTTTTACTTCTGTCTCCTTCTCCTACTGCATGGTTGATTCTCTCTCTTTTCGGAATATGGGCATCCCTCTAACCTTTCATTCCTTATGGACAAGCACCTATGAGGTCCCTTCAGTTGTCGCTGTGCGACCAATGGATCATGCATTCCGACCCTTTGGATTATTCTGTCTCATTACTCAGGAGCAACATTGTCGATTTTGAATGGTGGTTGGATCAGAACAACACTACTATTGAGATACCCATTCCACCACTTTGTCCCGAGATCCATAGTTCACAGATGCATCTCTTCAGGGATGGGGAGCCCATCTTCGAGGTCAGGAGTTCCAGGTTATTTGGACAGAAAATGAGTCTACCCTTCTTATCAACATTCTTGAACTCCTTATAGTACAATGGGCTATAGTTCAAGGTCTGTCTCTCTTGAGGGTAAAGTTATCATGATACTTTCTAACAATTCCACTGTGTTTTCTCAGATTTCTAGTCAAGGAGGCACACATTCTTGAGACATATATTTTTGTACCTTGAATCTTCTCTACTTTGCTCATGATTGTCATATCAGTCTTTTAGCATGTCATGTTCCAGAAGTGATGAATTTAATTGCAAATCACTTGTCTCAACTCAACTAGATTCTTCTGATGGAATAGATGCTACATCACAAGGTTTTTTAATGGATTTGTTCTTAGTTCAGATCTCCAATAAACGTTGCCTTTGCAACTCATTGGAATTCTTTACTGTGGTTGTTTTGGTTTCCGATACCTCATCCTCAGGCATTGGCAGTAGATGCATTCAGTCAGGACTGGACAGGTTTACATCTATATGCTTTTTCCAAATTTGGCTATTGTCCTATGTTCTGACTGTGGTTTGTTCTACTCCCTGTTGAGTTCTCTTAGTTGCATCATATTGGCCAGCTGAAACGTGGTTTCGACTTCTTTGATATCTGCAGGAATGTCCACCTCTTCCTCTTCCACAGTGGCATTCTCTGTTGAGATAATCTTGATCAGACATTCTCCACCCAGATGTTCGTAAACTCAGTCTTCATGCTTGGAAGTTTTGTGGTCCTTTGTCCAATATAAGGGTTTAACTTCTAAGGTTTCTCTGTATTTAACTAAATCTCTCCATAGGCCAACCACTGCTGATTATCAATGGAAATGGAATACTTATCATCACTGGTTTATTAAAAGGAATTTAAACCCTCTTCCTCCTAAAGTATCTACCACATCCGTTTTATGACTTGGGTATTTGAGAGGGGTCTTGCTTTATATATATATATATATATATATATATATGTGTACTTTATTTTTTGGTATTTTAATAAATATTGGAAGGTTTTTGAATCCTCAGTACTATCAGGTCTACTTAAATCCTTTCTTATTCTTTGACCTTAAAAGACCTTTCCAGTTAACGAACTGGGATTTTACAGTTGTTTTACATGCATTGTCTCATCCACCCTGATAATTTGTTATGTCCTATTAGGGCCCTCAAGTGTTACGTAGCTCATACTAACTCATTTCAAGGTAGTAGGAATCGATTGTTCATTCGTTGGAATCCTTCTATTTCTCGTGACTTATCTCCCATTATTCTGATGCGGTGGCTTCATAAAATGATTCACATAGCCTATAATGAATTATCGTTGCAGGAGAGGAATCTTTTGTCCATTACTTCTCACTGGATTTGTCATATCTCTATCTCATTAGCCACTAATTTGAATTGCCCTCTGGAAGACATTGTGCGGGCTGGTATGTGGACTACTAATACTTTCCTATTTCATTACTTACATGATCTGGCAGTTTTCTCTTCTGAGGGTTTTGACTACTTCCTGTAGCTATTTTGACCACATTTGTTAGATTTTAACCAGGGGTGAGTATTTCCTCAATCATATACTTTTTTATTTTCAGGGTCCCTTTTATTTTTCACTGAATCCTACTCTATGGGGAGTGTTGCCCAGGCAGGTATGCTTTCACTTTTCAATTCTGCACTAGCAACCACTCTCACTATAATTACTACAAGTTGCAACAGGCTCTGTAGAAATGGGATGTTCCATAAGACCATCTAGGTGCTTACCAGATGGTATTATCTTTTTATCATGGACTATTATGAGTAAAGCTAAAGGGGATCTTGCCCATCCCTGCTGATCTTCAGGTTGAATAAATTGGGGTCGGTTTGCTTTTAAAAATGTAGGGAACTTGGTTCACCTATTGCACTGTTTCTCAGGACTCCCCAATGCATATTACCCCCCCCCCCCTCAGACTCTACTGGTGGATTTTGTGAGTCCTCACCACCCCAGTTTCCAGTTGCTGGGGTGGCAGACAGAGGATTTTCCTCCAGAGTGTTCAAGTGTTTCCCGCCATTAGAGAAGAGGGTGAAGTTGGGGGCCCTCTTACTTGGGTCTCTGGATGTTTTTCCCAGATGTCGGTAGGAATGGCACCAACCTCCACAGGAGTCTACTCGTAGTACCAGTTCAGATTTGACACGAACTATCTGGTTGGAGGGTGCATGGCCCTTCTCTTTGATCAATCTCGATTTCTCATATTGTTAATGGAAGGAGGTCCACTGTCTCCTCATAATTCCAAACTCCCCCACTCTTGTACCATCTTTATATTGGTATGATTCTTTTCCATACACTTGCTTTCTTTATGGTTCATGCCTGCACTGGCCCCTCCATCACCTTCTCAATGTGGGATTCTAGCTGTAGTGGAGGTAACTGTGTTTTGGAATATGTTTCTAAACTGAAAATGTTTTTCCAATAATACTTACCTCCATTGTCACTCTCCCGCCCTACCTCCCCACTAAAAGCCGGTTGATGTATAGAAAAAGTGATAACATTATCTGAATGAGGTGCTTATATACAATACCTAGATAGAGGGTGCATTGAAATTGGTGGAAAATTTTGCAAATTAGAAATTTCCAAGGGCATTTGAAAGGTATATAAAGATTGGAGCAAGCGTTTTCAATGCTTAGATGGGCAAAGAGTGGAAACCCTGGAGATCGAGAAATAGCTATAGTGTTAGCAGAGGTAAGTATTATTAAAAATACATTTTCAGTTTAGGAAAAATATTAACTTATGCCAAGCTAGCAATTCATAGCTAAGTCTCATGATAGAGTTATTATCTATTATTGTTTATTAATGAAACTGATTTAGCCATGAGCACAAGTGACCGATCACTCAGCAGTGCTGGAAGAGACTATATGCATGATCTTCAGTTGTATGACACAGACCTGTCACATCCCCTATGTCGAGATAGTGCTGGACAACAGGGAGAACACAGCATAAGAGAAAATGAATTTTACCACAATAAACACAAGGTAAACCTTTCTTTGATTGGTAGTAAGAATTTTAACCTTACATTTCATTATTAATTATGCTGAAAATAGTTATGTAAAGATGGAATGAATAATATTATTTTGGTTCTTTTCTATTCTTGGCTTATGAAAAAATAGTTGTAAAAATAATTTGGGATTAATAAAGTTTTGTTTAGAAATTATTTCTCTGAAAATTGACAATCGCTTTGGCCTCTCGCATGTTGTAGAGAATAAAATAAAACTATTTCTAAATCTCTAGGAATTTTATAAATATGACTGTATTGTAAAAGAGCCTTGGATTTGTTGGCTAATGCATTGTGTTTCAGTGCATTTGGTAACAGTTCTGTTCTTAAGTGATGTGAGTTGTACATAAACATTTATATTTTGGAAAATTATGTGAATAGTATGATTATACATAGTATTGTGACTTGGTCCAGGCTTTGATTACCATTGTATGTAAATTGTATCATCTTAAGGTAATCCTCAAAATATTTAATGTTCCACAAAGTTAAAAGCTCTCAGATTGAGTACAAACATAAAATGTTTTTTTTTTTTTTGTAGTATTATTCAGGACAAGAGTACATGTATCATGAATTAATGAAAACCAGTTTCTGTTAATGTATTGTAATAAATATCACAGAATTGACAAAATTTAGAATATGTCTGGGCAAATAAAATTACTGAACTACAGTAAGAATTATTATTTTTACTTAAGTTTTTAAATTGATATGCAAGTGTACACATGTACCATGAAAGGTGCTCACCAGTCTGTTCAGGGTTAACAACAAAACCTTTCAACCATTATTTTAAAAATGCAAAGGAGGGACTTGAAATTTAAGTTGAGTGACATAAGACATCTAAATCATGTGGTGTTAAAATTAATGTGTTTTACTTTCCAACTCCTGTATGTGCTGTTATCTTATTTATCTATGGCTGTGTGTAATCAATTAAAAATTATTTAATTAACAAAAGTTTCTAATAATAACTCTATCCAAAGATTACAGGGTTTTCCACAAGTTTTGTGAAACAAAATTTCATAACTTTTGTTGACAATGTCAAAACCAATCACAGATATTTTAGAGTAAATATTACTGGCCACAGCATATTTACTATTTTATCGTATAGGTTACCTGTTTAGTTGGAAGTTTAGAAGACTTAGGAATAAACCACAGACCTTGGAATTTTATATAGTTTCTCTACACATATTTTTTGTTGAAAATGTTTGTGTGGATTGTCTATGACAATACATAGGATAAGCCTAGTTAGGTTAATAGCATACTTTAGGCAACAGTAAAATATTCTAATGACTCAAATTCTTATTTATTCAATATTATTGCTAAGTTTATTGTATTCAAACAATGTACGTTAGTAAAAGAACTTAATATTTATTTAAAATAAATTTATTAGATATAAATTAACTTGACCAGGAAATGTCAGCAAAAATATTGATACTTACCCTGACCTGGTACCATTGTGACAGGTCAGTTCATAGGCCACTGATAAATGTTTGCCGGTTTTTACCATTTTTCTTATGATTTATAAACAGAAGTGTTGAGTGATGACTACTGCAATAAGCAAAATAAAGTATTGAGAGCTGTGTTAGTGAATATTAATCAAATTTAAATTGACTGTAAATATGAAATGGAATTTTCTGATCAACTAGAAAAACATCAAAATTCTAAGAATGAGATGAAGCATTTTTTTGTTTCTTTTTAAAATTATGTTTCTTAAGATTTTGAAAATTTTACAACATAAAAAAGAAACAGCTAATCAAATTACATGATTATTTTAAATTGAAGCTAAGTGCTGTTTAGTAAGTTTTACTAAGGTTAATCTGTTTGGTTATGTATTTCCACTGTATGAAGGAAACAAATCAGTGGTTGTCATTGACACCTCATTGGTCCAGAAAGGGTTAATGGTGCACCAATGAAAATTTTTTCATTTTAGTTTTTAAAAATTATTATATGGTCCTGAGTAGATTTTTGATTCAAAGTTGTTTATTAACTGCAGAAAACATGTTGGTAGGATCACCTAAACTGATTTGTAAAGTTTGCACTGCCATAAAATTTAAAACACTTATATAAAACTATCAGCTTTACACTCTGTTGCTTCAGCTAATTTTGGATTTTTTCAAATAATTGGAAATTTGTTGATCTTAAATTTTCACACAGATTTCCAAATTTGAAATGTTAGTCAGCACACTGAATTACAGACATTTCTAGTATATTGATTTTTTTTTCAATCATTTCAAAGTTCATAAAGGAAATCAGACTGGTACACATTTTACGATATTAACTTATCAGTAGTTTAATGTAGTTAGCACTGTATTTAAATGATACATAACTACTGTTGAAAAATTGTTTATGAAATGTTTGTAAGATCTAAAAGGCAAAGTGATCTCTTAAACTTAGTACATGGGATATTTCCATTATTGTTTTATTAATCAATCTATCTATTTACATGTGTATGTTTATAAATATATATGCATTTTAATTAACAAAAACTACAGTGAAGACGCTGCATAAATTAAAAGGATCATCAAGGTACATTATCCACATTATAGCCTATATCCTAGTGAACTTCTCAACCTGTGCAGTGTCTTTAATGTAGTTTTTGTGTTGTTTGGCCTGTTTTGTTAATTAAAATGTCTTTCATCACAGGTTTGGGCTTTCTGTTTTTAATGCAGTCTTTGTTTTTGATGTTAAACTTTACTTAACTGTTGAAGTAGTAATTGTTTTTTTCTATTTTAGTTTAAATTATACGATGGTATTTTTGAAATAATCTAAAAAAAACTACTTGAATATCTCTGTTTCCAAATTTAAGAGTACCACTGAACTAAGAACATTCTTAATGTTTAACATGTATTACACATGTATTTGTGTGTTTGAAAGCTCAACCCTCCATTTACAGATATCAAACACATGTATGGCCACATGAGTACATTTTGTACCCAATTTTGATGTTTACTATATATGTAACTTTTACAGAGGGTAAGATAATTATATTTCTCATAAGAGATTGTAAAACTTTTATTTAGATAATGCAATAGTATGTTTGTACCATGAAACATTAAATGTGAATACATAATGTACCCATATTGGTTTTCATAGGGTTAGATGTGAAAAGGCAGTTTGATATTAAGATCCAGTTAAGCATTTCACTAATGACATACTTGTACATAAATATGGTTGTGCATCTTCAGTCTTTAAAAAAGTTCTTGCATAACTTTATGTGAAAACCTAAAAATATTTGCTTTAAAATTGTCTGTACATGATTGATACATAGGTGGCATTGTTAGAAATATTGCTCGTTTTATTAATGTGTATGCTGTTATTTTGTTATGTAAAATAATGCAAAGGTTTGAACTTACCATATACTGAACTCTATAGTATAGTGTCAATGAAAGTCATACATCCTATTTTAGTGATATTTATATCTGTTTTAAACAAGTATTTTCCTCAGTATAGAAGCATGTATTCACAGTTGTAACATTTTTCTCTTAATGATCTTACCAGTTTTGCTGCAAGACTTGCATTGTTTCTTGTTTTTTTTCTTTTAAATCTTCTTGTCAAAGAAGAAAGCAGTTCATTAACCACAAAGTTGACATATTTAAGTTACTCTTAAGAGAAAAAAACAAGATGTATTTCCTGATTCAAATGCCACTTGCATGGAGATATAGATTGCTTATAGCATTTAGTTGAAAACAGGTACTCTGTTTTATGTCATGAAAAAGTTTTACTGCTATTAAAGATTGTTTAAGATTTTGAATTATTATTTTTTCTGATTTACAACATACTTATGTAAAGTTAATCCATTTTCCTTTTCTTATTAGGATAGTTCCTTTTCCTTTAAATTAATAGCTACTGGTTTGATTTGATAGTCCATATTGTACAGCCAGGGGTATTTCAGAATAAATACTTAGCTGATTATTGAGAGAGATTAAGTAACTATGTGTGGAATTTGCTTCATATTGATGATCAATGAAAACCAGTGTGGTGAGTTAAAACAAGGTTTATAAGCCAAGTTTTTACTTAATGCCATTAACTTCAGAACAGGTTTGCCTATGTGTAGATAGTGGCATAAGAATTTGTTTCATTGATAACATGAATATTGGAGATTGTATTATTTCAAAGGGAATTTTATGAACAGATATCATGATACTAGTTTTGTGTGTGTTCCACATCACTTAGAGTAAAGGAGATGAACATAGGCAGGAGACAGTGATCTTGAAGAAACAGTATAGTGAGCTTCTGGCTGACAAGCATCGTCTTGAGCAGGAAGTTGCACGACTCCAGAGGTTCCGAGAGGAAGATCGTAAAGAGGTAGCAGAACTCCGGCGACAGCAGCAGGTATATATAGGTTTTATTGATGTATAACATCATATTTCTTTATAATATCTTAAGTTCCAAGTTTTTGGAATTATTCATCGTTCGAAAAAAAATATTAAAGCTTCATTTGCCTTATGTGAGACAACTTGTATAGGTTTTTCAGTTATTTTGACTGGACTTGTTGTTATGTGTATAAATATCTTTATCTATTAACCCCTATGTCAGATATGCAAACAATTTAACATGAATTCATATGTAGTTTATAAAAAAGCTGAAATTGTTATTCATGAATAATGATATATTTAATTAACAAAGTATGGCAACTGATTATACAGAAAAATGCAACAATTACATTCAAGCTTCTAACACTATAACCTATAGTTATAATTAAAGCTGGACCGTTTTATTTTATGATAGTAACTGTAGTTTAAACTTTCAATTTGAAATTAACAGTTTTGTTTTTCAGTGGTGATTTTGGGATGAACATGAAAAATGCTAAATATTATAAACATTAAATGTGTAGTATATACATATAGGTATTATGTCACAAATGGGAGGTTACATAAACATTTATTACTGTTATGTAAAATGTGCATGTTGTCTACGAATGATTTCACAGTCCATCTACTAAACATAGGAACCTTTTGCTTTTCTCACTAAAAGCATTTTAAAATTGACAGGTGTGCATCTTTGGTTAAATAATCATTTTTTGAGATAGAATTACCTTAATGCAATTTGCACATGTCTGAAACTTTACAAACCAACTTACAAGATACAAGTGTAGAGTAGTTTGTGTTGTAGGTTATTATGCAAATATGAAAGTGCCTTTCACATCAGACAGACATGGAGATAAACATTTATCTACAGTCAAACACATTAACTTTATCAAGCTGGAACAAGTAAGCATTGTAGGAAATAAGGCTTAAATATTGCATTTTAACCTTTTGACAAAAATATGTGCATTTTTAGCAAGAAAACTTGATACTATTAGAAATAAATTATTTGCTGCAAAAACTAGAAAAAGTTTCATATATTTAGTTGAAACACAGTGTGTGAGATAAAGTTTCATAACCTACATGAAACTTCTTGCTTCAATAAATGCACTAATTACAGAAGAACTTCACAATGTTTATTCCATCTGCTTTACGCGGTTTTTGAGAAAAAATAAACACTTGTGTGAGCATGAGTAATTGATTGGTTTTGATGTGTATTTTTATATGCATTTTATTGTTAAGTCGTTTATTAAGTAAGGAGAAAAGTAAGATTTCAGAATTTGTTGTTTTTGGAAATGAATATAGATATATAAATGCATATATCTTTTGTGATCTTTAGTTACTAACACAACTTGTATTTGGCTGATGTACAGTTATTTTGGGGGTGGAAAATTAAATAAAGATACAGTGAGTTATTGTGCTTAAAGGCTTTATGTAAACAGTTATTTCTAAATGTAAGATTTCAAATTTGCATACAGATAGAAAATGTTTTATTATTGATCATATGACCATTTTTACCTGCATTCAATATTAAATTTTGTGTAGATTTGTGAAACCTTAACTGGAAATTACTGGTTACTGGTCATTGAATTTTATGTTTTACATGTCTAGCTATTTTTATTATGTGAAGTATATTTGTATGAAGCTTACTACTAAATATAGGATTGAAGGTTTGTTTACAAAATTGTTTTTAGAGAAAGTTTGGAGATTCAGCAACGCTGAAAATAAGATTTACAGTATTAACAGTTATTTTACACATACAATTGTAATTCAATAATAATTTGATAGAAATTAATACTTAATTAAAAAATATATGTAGAGCTATTGAATGAAGAATATTGAGGATTGAATGAAAAAACACTTCAGAATAAGCTTCAAACAATGAACAATTAGATTACTTCATATTTTTTAAGTTCTAGTAATTTGGGATCTCATTATTAAAGATTAATTTGTCATAAGGTATTACTATTACAGTAATGCTCACATTATCTTTCAGGACTCACTGGCCAAAAGTGGAAGTGGTGAAGCTGCTAACCAACTGTATCTTACCATTGTTCGTAAATGTGAAGCTGTGAAAGAAGAGTATGATGCCCTTCATAAGCGTTATGCTGATCTGGTTGCATCACATAGTGCTGCTTTTTCTAAACTAGAATTAACACAAGAAGAAAATGCTCGTCTGAGGAAGTCTTATGATGATGCGCTTCATGAAAGAAACGCAGCTTTGCATGAAAGAAATGGCTTACAACAGCAATGCACTGCAGCTATTCGTCAGTGGGATAATGCTCTCAGAGAGAGAAATGAAGCTCGAGAACAGTTGGCAAAGGTTAATTTCCTGATATTTTTATCTTATTCTGCTGTATGTAACAATGAATGAAAATTTGATTACATGTTTCTAGAACAAGTCCTGTGGGTAAGACTAGAGAGAGATAGGGAAGACACTGCACTTGAGTGGCTGGTAAGAGAGACCTAACCTCTGTGATACATCATCTTTTGACATAATTGGACTTCACTGTTTCTGTTACAGTTGCTACAATGTTGGACATAATGTACTTTGAAGTATGGTAGTTGAAAAACTGAAGAAATTGTGAAATGTTGATCTCTTTTTCTGTTAAACAGAATTAATTTGTTTTACATGATTTAAGTTTAATATATTTCTTTATTGGATATACTAATTTAGACCATAAACATTTATTTCTGATATTTTAATCTGCAAATAGTATAATAAGCTCTGACATTTGAATGTGTTTATTTTACATTTTGTTTTGTTTTTTTAATTTACAACTACTATAATAATATGAAAATTGTACTGTAATGGATGCATGCTTTTTTCATTGCTTAAACTTATTGTATGCTAACATATTAGGTTGATTTATCAAAGCCATTCAAAGTTTCATACAATGTAATTTCTTCTCATAAAGACAAATTTCTTGTGTTTTATGCAGATAAATATCTTAATATGTGCTGAAGTGGTTTGGCAAACTAATTGTCTTCTTTAGTCATGTGTACAATATTTAGTTTATCAATAATCTTGTAGTTGTATTACAAGTAACTTGAATAAGATTGAAGCTTTGAAGTGTTTAGGTACTGAAAGTATCTAGTGTTTCCATATTCCCTAGGTTCAACAACAGCGGGATGATGCTATGAAAGAAATTAACCAGGCTATGGCAGTCCGTATGAAAGCAACAAAAGATCTAGCCCGTTTAACAGAAGAGAGAAATGCAGCTGTTCAAGAATACTCCTTAATAATGTCAGAACGTGACCAAGTGCATAAAGAGATTGAAAGATTACAAGAGGAGTTAGGAGAGGCTCAAAAACGATGTTCTGCAGCTGTAGGACAGCAAAAAACTTCCATGGAAGAGGCAGTTATTGTTTTCTGTTGTTAGAAGATAGAATATGTTGTGTTATGTGATGAGGCAATTATTGTTTTCTGTTGTCAGAAGATAGAATATGTTGTGTTGTGAGGCAATTATTGTTTTCTGTTGTCAGAAGATAGAATATGTTGTGTTGTGAGGCAATTATTGTTTTCTGTTGTCAAAAGATAGAATATGTTGTGTTGTGTGATGAGGCAATTATTGTTTTCTGTTGTCAAAAGATAGAATATGTTGTGTGATGAGGCAATTATTGTTTTCTGTTGTCAAAAGATAGAATATGTTGTGTGATGAGGCAATTATTGTTTTCTGTTGTCAAAAGA